AGAGTGTTGTGCACATGTGAGCGAAGCGAGCGGCCCCATTGTGAATCAGTAGTAAAGGTAGATAGAACCCACCTCTGACACATGCCACAGTCGTATCAGTGGGCACACAAGCTCAGCTCCAGTGCGCATGTGTGCACTGGCCAGCTGATTTTCGGGCCTTCTGGTCCCACCATAAGTAGAGAAACAGTGTTTCCTGCCTCCGGGGGGCCTTGGGGGGAGGTGGGGAAAGCCATTTTCGCCTTACCCAGACTCCTAGAAAGGCTCTGGAGCCTGGGGAGAGAGAGAAACAGGCCTACTAGGCCCACTGTGCCATCGCGTGCCAGGAGTGGGGGGAGCGGGGGGCGGTCATGTGTGCTTGCACGGGGGCAGGACACGTAGAATTATGGGTATGGGCATGCACGCGCACGACCTCACCTCGCCGCCTCTGGCACGCAATGGCAAAAAGGTTAGCCATCACTGCCCTATACCATTCCAGACAAGTGGCTGTCCAGTCTCTTAAAAGTCTCCAGTGATGGAGCACTCACAACTTCTGAAGGCAACCCATTCCATTGGTTTATTGCTCTCACTCTCAGAAAATTTCTCCTTAGTTCTAGCTTGGTTCTCTCCTTGGTTAGTTTCCAAACATTGCCTCTTGTCTTGCCTTCTGGTGCTTTGGAAAATAGGTTCACCCCCTCTTCTTTGTGGCAGCCCCTCAAATATTGGAACACTGCTATCATGTCATCCTCCCCCCACCCACTAGACTACACATACCCAATTCCTGCAACCATTCTCCATATGTTTTAGCCAACAGCCCTGTGGAGAATGGGCAGCTATATGAATTTGATAAATAAATATGACAGGGTTTTAATAAAATCAAGACTCAAATGGTCTTCTTTTGGTAACAGAATGGTCCACTGGGAATTCATAGATTTATTCATTCATCCATCCATCCATCCATCCATCCATTCATTTGATTTCTTTAGCCACCCATCTCAGCAAACAACTCTGGGTGTGGCTCACAATTGAGAATGCTGAGACATCATTATAGAACATCTTTCTTGCTGGTACAAATAGCCAGTGCTCTGTGAAATGATGCCATTTGATTACTTTGCATCATTTCCAGAAACACTTTTCCAGACTTATTTTTGATGTCTGGATGAAAAATGTATGAATGAAAAAACTACATCTTTCTACCTGACTGCATTCAACTCAGCATTCTAAAGATGGGTTCAGTTCACAACTCCTTTGAACTCCTAGTATGTTCTGTCACACTTTTATCTATGAAAATCCTGGATTAAAAAGTAGAAATGAAAATAGTAGCTTCAGAGGAGCAAATTTTGTTAGGGTAAGATGAGAGGAAAATTACTTAGCATTAATTTCTTTTCCTTAACCTAGTAATTCCCAGGTAACTCAGGACTGCCCATGTCTGCTAGTTACCTAAGAGAATTTGCACATGTTAAAGGCATTGGCATGATTAATGCCATGTCTGTTTTGGTTTTGATTCATCATTCAAAATGCTGCTCATTTGTATTCTTAAACTAGCATCACACAGCGCATGACCAGTAGTTGATCATATTCCAAAAGATAAAATATGATTTCAAAAGTTTAAACACTTCCCTGAAAAGGTTTAGCCCATATTTTATTTTACAAAATAACGTTCCTTCCTGTTTTAGTTTTATGTTTTCACAAATCAATAATACTGTACGGGTGACAACTTTACAAAAATATGTCTAAGTTGACCTGCCAGCCAGTAATTGATCATCATTGTGCCAAAATATACAAAGTATGAATTTGAAACCAATGCTGATGGTGTGCTGGGTAAACAACATGGCAGATTTTGATGGTATGAAAGTACCTTTTATGTGCTAACATCAATAGAAACTACCCAGCTTCAACCAGCAGATTCATAACTCATTTCACCAAAAAAATTCCCTCTGGAATAATCCATTAGCCAACTTTTACTTCATACCTTTTAATTCATAAGGAACCAACTGTTTCCCAAGTTTCATACAAAAAGACATCTCTTATTTTAAGAGTGAACATCTGCTTACATGCTGTAGAAATAGTAAGACTGGGTACTCCAGGATTTGCTTTTCTATTAGCAGTAGGAATGAAAAGCATCATTAATTTAAAAGCACTCTGAAGGCTTCGGTAAAAGTGGTGGGTTACTCCCGGTTTGGTCTGGTTCTATAGAACCGGTAGTAAAACTGGCGGGAGGCTCCACGAACCCGCCACGACGCCATCATGGGTGATCTGCGCATGTGCAGAAGCACGGACGCAGAAGTGAGCAAAGCAAGCGTGCACGCGTGCTCCTGCTGTGAACTGGTAAGTGGAACCCACCCCTGTTTGATTACATGGCTGAATAATGCTAATGTCAAAGCTTAATCTCCGGTATGTTCCTTTCTACTCTGACTTAAAAGATTCCTTATCTGGAGATTTAAAGCAGGAATGTATCTATTAGAGGCCTGGCAGCCAAATTCTTCTGTTCAGAGCTTAACATACAGACGTGTTTAGTTCTGCCATGTGTCTGGAAGCTTCATCTTAACTTCATCAGAAGAATCCTGTATCTGGCCTAAGGTCAGTGTAGCTGACTTGTTCTGATGCAGAAAATACTTGATTAGGCATATGAGGCAATCCAGCCTCGTCTTCTGCTGACTCAAGACATTCTTAGACTAAATACTTTGATGATATCATGCCAGGCCATTGCAGAAAAGCATGTGGAAGAAAAGGATGTGGGTTTACAATGTATATTTTTATAGAATGGTTTAAAGAAAATTGTTTTAGTTTGCGTGGTTTACTTTAATGCTTGGCTTTGGTTTTAGTTTTGCTATTTCTGGCTTTTATTAGTTATGTGTTCGTCGCACTGAATATATTATTATTGATATTTTATATATAGCCTTGAGACGGCTCTTTTGCATCTGAAGGCCATCTGAAGCATCTACAAATATGTAAATATTTTTAAAGTGATGCAAAACAGAAAATATTATCCTTAACGCCAGAGTGTGTTAAAATAATGGCAGTATAATGTAAGTTACAGGCAACTCAGTCCCAATCATAAGGAATGATAATCATAAAAGAAATCCTGCTGAATCAGACCAAAGACCCATTTAGTCCAACATTTGTTTTCTACTGGGATCTGTCCCTATGTTTCCAAGAAAATCATGAAGAGGCCATGAGAATAATGCCCTTATCCATTATTCATTCTACAACTCTGCCAGCAATCAGTATTCAGAGACATATTAAGCAGAATAACAGAGTTGGAAGTGGCCTTGGAGGTCTTCTAGTCCAACCCCCTGCTTAGGCAGGAAACCCTACACCACTTCAGACAAATGGTTATTCAATATCTTCTTAAAAACTTCCAGTGTTGGAGCATTCACAACTTCTGGAGGCAACTTGTTCCACTGATTAATTGTTCTAACTGTCAGGAAATTTCTCCTTAGTTCTAGGTTGCTTCAATATTAATTCTTGTATATGTGCATATCATTCTGCTGCCCTCCCAGTTATGTCATATTTAACTGACATAGTTTGATGAATGTGCACTGTCAGTATTTGTGAATCAACATAAACTTAAAAAGAAACATTACTGACTGCTCTTCCTCATGGAAGAGCACAGAATCCATACTCCTTTTCCAGTAGGACTCTTTTCATACAATAATAATAATAATAATAATAATAATAATAATAATAATAATTATTATTATTATTATTATTATTATTATTATTATTATTTTATTTCTATACCGCCCTTCTCCCGAAGGACTCAGGGCGGTGTACAGCCTATTTAAAAACAGAATAGACATCAATTTAAAATAATTTAAGTAAGTAGTATTTTATGTCAAAGACATGGTGAATAAGTATTGTTGGTTCATTTCTGTTTGATGGAAAACTGCTGTATCTACATGATTCTCAGACAGGAGTGCTAATTAGAAAGTGATGTCATCTAGAAGTAACGATTTTAAATTTATTATAAGATGCTGGTATGTACAGTATGTGTAAATATATATTTGTGGGTGTGTGTATATGTGTGTGTGTGTGTGGTTGTAAATATGTGTGTGTGTGTGTGTGTGTGTGTGTGCATATGTATATGAGGGAGGGAGGAGGCATTCCAGAAATTTAGGAAGGAAAGTGCAGTAACAACTGATGTTTCTATTAAAAAGATTGAAGTTTTGCTATCTATAGTGGATGAGTAACCTTGTTTAAAATAATAGAAAGTACAGAAGTCCAACATGAATATTTTTTTGCTAGAAAATAAATCCACAGAGAATTTCAGTATGTTTTGAAGATTTAGAGAATGAAACCATGTAATATCATGATAGGCAGATGTTTTCCATATGTTGTCAGCATGGAACTTCAGTCATTCCAAAGCTGATTTGTATGATGTTTCATGTTACAGATTTCTCTGTGAATTTGGCTTCAGTTCAGCTTGTGCATGTACTTCGTCAAACATTCTTCCAAAATTGTAAAACTATTTTGTCTTGTTTATTCTCTCCACCTCTCCTCCATACTTTATCAGCATCTGAGCAATTGTATCCTATGTTGCTATCAGTGTATCTTTGTGTTAAATGCAGTTATAAAATATAGTTTCCAGGTTTCTCTTTAGCATAGCTTGCTTAAGTGTAAAATAGGCTACTTAAATTGAAGCTGAGGTGGGATAGAGAATAGGTAAATTATAATGGATTTTTTTAAATAGTTCTTTAACAGTTAGTATAACCATATTGTTTAATACTCAATTCAAATAATATTTAAAAAATAATTTTGGTTTATATGCAAAGCCATATTGCCTTACTTAGTCACATTCCATATTAAATAATATTTGATTTCTGTTTTTCTCTTGTTCTGCCATATGTTTTGATGCAAACATTCAGTTCCCACAGACATCGTTCCCAGAAACCATGGGTAATAAAATCCTGGTTCTGTTTTGCTTTATCTCTTCAGCTTGAGACCATTCAGAATTAAAGCCTTGTTGACAGAGAAAATAGAATAGGCTCTTTGTTATGATTCTGTTCCCATATTCTTCACAGGGAATTCCACGTTGCTCCGTGTATTGCCTTCTTTGTATGAAAAGCAACAAGAACCTTTAAGCAACCACCTGAGAGAATTGGTAGGACTGATGCCTCATCTGGAACCATCTGAACAGCAACATCTTCTACAGCTTTTGCTAACCGTTGCAAAGAAAAAGCAGCCCAAGGTAATTTTTGTTCATTTCATATTTGGTCAACTCAAAACATGTGGCTCTTGAGTCAAAGGAGCCTGTCATTTTGATACACCCCAGAACAATTAAGCTTCTCACTAGGCCAGGATCCAAAATACCTACCTATAACTTTTCAAGAATTTCCTCTCCAATCATGAACTTTGCATTAAGATTTGCTGAGTTTGAAAACCAGTTAGACATCAGCTCCCCAAAGAGGAAAGTTCAGCAAAGGCTGAATCAGTTGGCTGAATGTAGAGCAGGGGTGGGAAACTATTCCCCCTTTATGGTCTGTGAACTTCAACTCCCAGAATTCCTAAGCCAGCCATGCTCAGGATTGTAGAGTGTCCTCTCTTTGGGCTTCACTTTAGCCTAGTGAATAATTTATTCACTATGCATTTATTATTTAGTGAATTTATTCATTGCTGCGCTTATTAATCTCTAATCAGGTGTCTTAATTTAATATTGATACTTTTTTGAAATGAAGCCAAAATGGGGACACACAAAGCTTCAATTTCCAGAGTTGCAAACTCTAAAAGCCATTTGTAGAAGCCATTTAATTTCTTGTTTTAGTGATTTCAACAAAATACTTGAAATCAGTATCATAAAAATATTAAGATCCATTGTACAGCTGGAGTTAAAAAGAACTTGGATTGTTGAGAGTTCAAAGTACCACAAAATATCCTTTGAGTCAAGCTAGATTCCTGCTGAATACATTGATGCGTCCAGATTATTTTCTTGGCAACAATATAAAAATATTCACTGTTGCCTTCTTTGTGGACTTTCTTTCATTTCTCAATCTAATATTTAGACCTTGGATTTTTATTTTTTTTTAGGTGGTCCTACATCCAGGTACTAATCAGATATAATTCTGCCTGGTTTTTATATAGTTTGTTTTAGATTAGACACCTTAAATGCAAAATTTTAATTTTGCAGATAATAATAATAATAATAATAATAATAATAATAATAATAATAATAATAATAATAAATAATAATAAATAATAATAATAATAATAATATAATACATCAGATCACACACTATCACAAACTATTTGCATCAGATCACACACTATGACTCATTGTTCATCAGGAAAATACTTATTATGCCATGTCCAGTAAAAGTTGAATCATTCCTAACCACAATGACATGCTATAAATTTATGGGAGACCAAGATCTATCCTTTGTTTCAACCTCCATTTTTCCATCCTTTTCTGCTACATTGAACTCTCTCTATATAATAAGATAATTAGCTTTTTTGAGACTGATGTGGAATATACAAAAGCATTTATATATTCACAAATTCCTATTTTTTTATTGGATTAGGAACTGGACATAAGAAGTATGGTTTTAACTGCCCTCTCCATGTTCATTTATGTATTTATTTATTTATTAAATTTTTATACCGCCCTTCTCCCGAGGGACTCAGGGCAGTGCACAGCCAACACTAAAACACATATATACAAAAAAATTAAAAACAATTTAAAAATATATTAAATAATTTGGTCCCAGTCTTATTAAAAAATTAAAGCAATCATTTAAAATTCACATTTAGGCCAGCCCAGCTTGTTGAAACAATAAGGTCTTGAGGGCACGGCGAAAGGCGCGTAGGTCAGGGATCATCCGTATCTCCAGGGGCAGTTCATTCCAGAGGGCAGGTGCCCCCACAGAGAAGGCTCTCCCCCTGGGGGTCACCAGTTGACATAGTTTGACCGATGTTCCCTCTCTGTGGGAACGTATTGGTCAGTGGGAGGCTATTGGTAGCAGAAGGCGATCTCATAAGTACCCAGGTCCTAAGCCATGGAGTGCTTTAAAGATGGTAATCAACACTTTGAATCGCACCTGGAAGACCACCGGAAGCCAGTGCAGCTCACGCAGGAGAGGTGTTACATGGGTGCTCCGTGTCGTTCCCATAATCACCCGCATGGCCGCATTCTGGACCAGTTGGAGCCTCTGAGTGCTCTTCAAGGGGAGCCCCATGTAGAGAGCATTACAGTAGTCCAGGCGGGAGGTGACGAGGGCATGAGTGACCGTGCGCACCGTGCACAATATAGTAAGAGCGTGCTGAATGAGAAAGACAAAAGTCATCTCAAGCACAAAATGTTTCATTCATCTGAGAATAATCAAGTGATGAAAACACCACCGACTGAGAGCCCTGGAAGGTTAGCAAACCAGAAGTCTTCCAATCAGAAAGCAAAATGATTCTTCTTTTAATATCAAAAATTAAGTCTATTTCAAAGGAATATGGTCTATGAGCTTAACATTATTGAGTCTAAACTAATACAAATTTTCTGGCAAATATATGAAAAAAACCCAGTTTCTCCATTCATAATATTGTATAGAATAAAGTGTTAAAAGGAAATGTCCCTGCCCTCAAGTTATATTCACTGCACAAAGATAAGACGTTTCCCAATACATTTGGCTTTAATAAACCTATTATAACTCTTGCATAAATAAGTACAATATGTGCAAATTGCTGCGATGATAATTGACACTTTGCCATTGAATTTCCATGGCCAGCCAGTAAGCAGGGAAGAGCTCCAAAGCTTGCAAAATGAGGCTAAGGGTTATTCTAACCCCTGAATTTCCCAGTCTAATAATGCAAGTGATCTCATAAGCATCACTAGAGCACATTGTTCTTCCAACGTTAGCACATCCCTCATATTGAATCATGTCCTCTAAAAGGATATTTCCATGGATCTCAAAGTTAGACTGGTTCAGATAAGTCTTGGGCTAATTAAATGACATTATTGTCTACAACCCCCCAATATGTATCTCTACAAAGATAAAGATGTTTTATGATTAAAGAAAAGCAAGTAAGAAAGCAGAAAAGAATAACAGAGTACAAACATTTCATGCTTCATGTACAGCCAGTTCTGTTGTGTAGGCAGAATGTTTGTGCTACCTCACATTAGATCTTATAAAATACAATAGTATCAGATTATAGAATATATACATTTCAGTAGTCTTTGGAAAAAAATAAAAAAGAGCTCCAGGAATTTATAAGTTACAGCTGAAGGAATGTGTACAAGATATATAGCAACGGAGGGACTATAATTTCTTTCATAATTCCACTCTGACAGGACCCATTTTAGCCTTTGTTTAAACTATAGGTCATATACTTTAACTTTCAGCATAACTCCCATTCTTCTGTTAAAGATACTGGGGGGGGGGGGGAGTGTCTTTGAGACTTCCTTTGTAAATTGTGACCTGGCATTTCAAGACCTTAAAAGAGAGAGTCAGATCTGGTCATCCATAAACCTAATTGAGAAGACTTAATATAACTTATTGCCTTATATTACAGAGAAGCTAACAGCATAAAATCAAATAATATAATCTGTAAATAGCCCAGAGTTGCCTTACAGGGGAGATGAGCAGCATAAAAGTTTAATTAATGAATAATATCACTATATACTGCTTTCAATAACTTAGGGCGGAAAATCTTCAGCTGAAGAGGTTGTAAAAAAATTCTTTTAAAAACCTCTGACGATCCCAGCTGAGTTGCCTGATGGTAGAGGCTTTTAAAAGCATTTTATTTTACAACCTCTTCGGCCAAAGAGGTTGTAGAAAAAATGCTTTTAAAAGCCTCTGACGATCCCATCTGAGCCGTGCGATCATCAGAGGATTTTTTTTTACTTTTAAAAGCATTTTTTCAGCCAAAGAGGTTGTAGAAAAAATGCTTTTAAAAATAAAAAAAAGCCTCTGATGATTGCGCGGCTCAGCTGGGTATGGACGGCAGGGTCTCCAAACCACCCGCCTCCATCGCTACCGGATCAGGTGATCCGGTCCGAACCGGGAGCATTTCACCCCTGCACTATACACGGACTAGTGAATGTCACTATCTAGTGATGTATATGTAATTGGTCCTAATTACAAGCAGGACTATTATTGTGATATTCAAGATTTTCTTTTTAAATTATTTGTGTCTTGTTGAAAATTTAAGCCTGTACATTTAGATTTTTTTTAAAGCATGTTCATTAACTTGGTTTCCTACCATGTTCAGATGAATTCTTGCAGAGTCATGCAAATTATAATTTCAGTTTTTAATCATGATATTGCAAAAATGGTACACGGGGAATTCATACAACAGAATTTCAGCATAGTTCCATAAATCACACCCATGCATGTATGACTTCATTACCACCTTTTTCCTTTGATTGCAAAAATGTGCCTAGATTTTATTGATTTCAATTAATTTACAGGGATGTGATTATAATTTGTCAGTCTGTCAATGACCTGAAGCCTAACTGCTTTAAATATGTAATTTTCCAGTACAATACAGGTAGTCCTTGACTTATGACCATAATTGAGCCCAAAATTTCTGTTGCTAAGTTTGTTAAGTGAGTTTTGCCCCATTTTATGACTTTTCTTGCCATGGTTGTTAAGTAATCTCTAAAATTCTTAATTTAATAACATGACTGTTAAGTGAATCTGGCTTCCCAACTGACTTTGCTTGCCAGCAGGTCATAAAAGGTGATCACATGACCCCAGGACATTGCAACGGTCATAAATATGAGTCAGTTGCCAAGCATCTGAATTTTGATCATGTGACCATGGGGATGCGGCAACAGTTGTTAAGTGTGAAAAACTGTCATAAGTGACATTTTCCAGTGCTGTTGTAACTTCAAATGGTCACTAAATGAACTGTTGTAAGTCGAGGACTACTAGCTGTATATAGAGGCTATGCTAACTTAAATGCTAATTTAAATTATCTAAAAATCTGCCTCTTAAATTCATTCTTCACTTTAGGCATCAACTGTGATATTTTAAGCATTTCTAACAAAATGGGAATTTCTGTTGCCTTTTCACAATAATCTATCATTAGAGACTTTAACTGAAATTTTTAAAAAGGTCAATAAAACATATTAGTTTAAGAGGAGAATCTTGTAAACACTAGGATTTTTTAAAAAAGAATTTCCTTAATAATGAAATACTAAATCAAATAATGTATAACTTCTAGCAGTAACCTGTGTTGAGAATAATTGAACGTGAATTGACTTATTTAAGAATTACAAGCAGATGGATTTTTCTTTACAAAAATCAGTCTGGAATTTATGTTTCACCCTTCTTTTAGGTTCTCAAAGAATGTATTTCTTCTCTAATTGATCATCTAAGAGATCCTCTTTATAACGACATTGTCCTAGACATATTCATAGAAATATCAGATTATGAACCAGAACTCTTGGCCAATTTACTGCCTGTACTGAAAGAAACTGGGGAGACTTTTCCTAATTTGATAGGGCAAATGGCAAAGATTTTTGGAGCTGTTGGACAAGTTGATGAGGTATGCGCTATTCTATTTTTAAAAGAAATTTATATTCTACCGTGTTCTTAGCCATTAGTCGTAATTCCATAAAAGAGATCTCCAATCAAAGGTAACTCACATTAAGGTCTAAAAATGATAGCATCATCATATTTTCCACAAAATATGCTATGATAAACCAATAATAAAAATGCACAATAGAAATATTATTGCACTTGAAAAAGGTTTCATATATTATATGTCTGATTATTTCATGTTTAAATTCTCAAGGAATTAATATCATCTTCAACTAACAAAATCTTTTGTTTGTGCCACCTGATTACTTTCATTCAAAACAGAATGCAATCAATTCATTTCTTGAATTTTCCTTAAGAGTTTTATATCCTGTTTTATATACAATAGCAATGCCAAGCACTTTGTACTGTTAATAGATCATCCTTAGTTTAAGTGCATTTTGTTTGCCATGAAGATATTAAATGTTAGGTTTATCAAGGCTTATATTAATTTTAGTTGCTATAAACTGCATTTGTGTAGAGATTTCACTCTTAAGAATTATATGCAGCTGAATTACAGTGTCCTTCCTTAAATAACTGGAAGGAACCACAATAGATTATAGCCAGAAAACAAGTGGAACATATTAAATGCAAGCATTTCCCAAAACGTGTCTCAATTTACTACAGCTTTTCCCTGCACTGCAAATTCAAACAAGAAAGTCACTTCATCTATCACATCATGAAACATTTTTCCTTTAATTTTATTGATGACGGTTGCCACACCTTAAATTTTAATGTTCATGAAAAATGTTCTATTTGTTCAATGGGTATAACTAAGGACTATATTTCACTTTCAAAATAATTTATTCTAGGATGTGTTTATATGATAAAGTTTAAGTGTTTGTGTGTGTGGGTGTGTGTGGGTGTCTCGGTGTGGGTGTATAAACTGTGTCTTGTATATAATTTGATATGCAATTTGTTTTTTTAGCCTCACCAGTTTGCTTACTGGAAAAGCATGTCTTGACAGAGGCTGTTAGAGCTGTGCACACTCTGAAAATGCTTAGGAAGAAATGCTTCAGATCAGTGGTGAAATACAAATTTTTTTACTACCGGTTCTGTGGGCATGGCTTGGTGGACGTGGTGTGGCTTGGTGGGCGTGGCTTGGTGGGTGTGGCAGTGGAAGGATACTGCAAAATCTCCATTCCCACCCCACTCCAGGGGAAGGATACTGCAAAATCGCCATCCCATCCCACTCTGGGCCAGCCAGAGGTGGCATTTGCCAGTTCTCCAAACTACTCAAAATTTCCGCTACTGGTTCTCCAGAACCTGTCAGAACCTGCTGGATTTCACCTCTGCTTCAGATCTCATACAATTCAAGCACCTCCCAGGCATAAGCCTGGGAAAAAATGTGGCTGCTTTAAGGAATTAACTCATTAAAGTCACCCTTGAATCAGCAATATCTTTTTTAGAACACTAAAGGTTAAAGGGTTTTTTTTTCTCCCAGATATCCCAGTGCACCATTGTTGCTACTTTGTCATGCTGTTCTTTGTAGTTAGTCTCTGTGATCTATCTGCAGCTGCTAATTAGATGTTTCTTCAGCTTCTTTGTAGAAGCAGCATTTGCTGTTTGTTGTTGTCTTCTTAATTCTAGCTTAATGTATGCATTTGTTATTAAGACTATGTCTCTAGAAATATTTGGGACTATTGCTTTTTGTTTGCATGAATATAGCTTTGAGTGATAATATTTTTTTTTATTATTCTGTAGAATGAACTGCAATGGTTTAATCTGCAGATTGATGTGATAATAAATCTTACTAGATGAGTAAGTAAATAATGAAGTAATAAATCTTTACTGTATGAGAATATAGTCATTGGTAGAAGACAGGCTATCAGCTTTCTGATAAATGGCCTGCTTCCAAATTTGAAGGCCCACTTCATAGGACTAAACAAAAGTAATTTAGTAAAATGTTACTATGTTTTGTATTAGATATGGTCCATAATATGGCAAGAAGTAACCAGTATCTAAGAGCCCAGAAAAATGAAGGATCTTTTAATAAAAGTGCCTTTCCATGTGTATGAAGCTTAAAGTGAGTGTGTATAGTTAAATATTCATTCATTCATTCATTCATTCATTCATTCATTCATTCATTCATTTTACTTGTATCCTCCATAATTAAAGGAGACTCTTAGCAGAATACATCCATTAATTAAAATTATTAAAAATGTCATTATGAAGAGACATCCATTAGTTAAGCTTAATTATGCAAAACTAATCAACATATAATAACTGATGATGTCATTTCAATTCCCTGAAATAGTTACAAAATAGTTTCATTTTTTAAATTACTTACTAAATTATAATTTGGGGTGAGGGGTATGTGTGTGATCAAATAATTCTGGATGGATTCATTCCAAATTGTACAGCAGCAGAACCCTACAATCTTCGTCACCTAATGGAAACCAAAAGTAGGTTTTTCTAGGACATCTTGAGTTGGGCAGATTGAAATTGGTCAGAGAAAATGGTCCTGCAAGTACTCCCAATGCCAAAGCATCTGTTGTGCTTCTTCACTGGAGGTAATTACCCCTACGGAGATATTTTGGGCATATCCTGGGGATAATAGAGCAATTTGTAATTGCTTGTTTTTGAGTTGAGAATCCAGAAAGTTGTTGTTGTTGTAGTAGTTGTTGTTGTTGTTTGTGGGACTATTGACATTATTTGAAACTGGGAAATGGATTATTGGGCCAAGCAGTTTAAGAACCATTGGGCCCACAGCACAGGGATAATTCATTCATGTCAGTAAATACCCTCTACCAACTGGGCTGCTGTACTTTGGACAAAATGAAGCTTCTGAGTAGTCTTCAAAATGCATTGTGGTACTCCAGATAGGTGATGATGAGACCATGGTTTATCAATCCAGGCTCCTAACACTCCAAATAAGGTTGCATCTGGCCATAGGTGGACAAAGTTTCTCTGATTACAGCTTCTGTAAGCCCTGCATGAACAGCCATGGATCTGCTTCTTTAGGGGCAACACCACTCTGTGAAAAGGCCACATTTTAATGGACACACAGTAACTGCATCTTGCATGAGACCATGCTAATCACTGGTCTTAGGTGTACTTAATTTGGATTGGATTTGTTTTCAGAGATTTCTAAACTTTTCTAAAGGGCTGGAAGAAAGATTGTTTCTCCTATTTGTTTTAACTGCTGTTTAGCGATGATGTTAGTGGAATGGTATTTCTGTAGTTTATAGACTGGACTGTGTGCATATACTATGTAAGAAGCTGTAGAAAAACTTTGCCTTTAATGCCATTAATTTTGTTTGAACTGATTGCAAGTTTAAATAAACGAAAACTCTATTGCATTTCAGTGTTCACATTTTATCTGCTGTACTGTTTCTTGGAATATCCTGTGTGGTCTTCTGTTTAAGCTTTTACATAATAGTTATCCTGTTTAAACTGCTGTCATTTACAAATGCTTTAGAATTTATCCTGCCTAATTAATATTCTCTGGAAATGTTTCTGACATCAAAGCAATTTCTCCATTACAAAAATGTCGATTACCATTGTGCTTAATCTGTCACAAGAGTCTTATCAGCACTAAGAAGAGGAGACAGCTTCACCCTTCCCTTTCTTTCCCTTCCTTCATAAAATCTGCCAAGAAAGGGATAGATCAGAACCCAAAGAAATCTTCCTCCCTCCTTCCATTTTATCCACCCATGTTCATTTCATCCTCTCCTCTTCCAAACTTTCTCCTTATCAGATGTCAGATGGTGCTGGTTTTTATCTTTAAGGGTCTACATGATGTGGGGACTGTTACTTGAGAGACCATCTATCTCTACTGGGTTTTGGTCATCCTACTAGGTGCAGCAGGGTGAATATGCTACGGATTCCTTCTGTGAAGCAATGTCAACTGATGGGACCAAGAAGATATGCCTTCTCTGTGAGGGTGTCCACTCTCTGGAACAACATTCTTCCCAAAATGAATCTGATCCTGCTGACTTCTTCGAAGGGCTTTCTTCCTTAGGTATTGGGGTCAAAGTGTTGTAGAGTTTGGTATAAATGTTTTATCATTATGCTGTTAGAAACACTTTAATAATGTCTCAATCTACATCTTTTATAAAAGAAACTGTGAGGTTTCTTTTGTAATTTTTTCAGTTATATAATATAGCATTTATGTTTCTGCTAGCTGTCCTGAGTTGTTTGGTTAAAATGGGTGGCCATGTAAATTTGACAAATAAACCAACAGACAAAAGGTGTCCTTCCCAAGCTCTTTATAGCTCTACCATTTCTGTGTTTCTATCTATTCTTTCTTCTGCTTCTGATCTTCTTCTGGTAGAATTGGCTGAGATTGTTCAACTTGTTTCTTTGATGGTGCTGATCAAAATGCCCAGTACCCTCATGTATAGAGGGAAAAGAAGATAAACATTTTGAAATTTTGAATATAGAAGAAATTAAAATTAACAGATTCATCCCTTACTATTTTCTGGGCTTCCTTATCCTTTCTAAAGTATTTTGCTTTGGGGTTTTTTGTTTGTTTGTTTGGGTGCCTTGAAGAGGGTGGATTCTTGGTGACTACCTGGATTAGTCCCTGCAATTTTATTGGCATGATTTCAGAAGTGGTTTGCCATTGCTTGCTTCCTAGTCCTAAGAGAGTTTATGGATAATCAGCTGGCTTTGAGTCTAATCCAAGACCAGAGCTTATTTTCTGATTTTTAGTATGGTGCCTTAAGCACCACCACTGGCTAGCTTTAAAATGATTATCAGGTCGGTCTGAACTAGGTTAGATCAGATTAGAATTCTTTATTGGCCAAGTGTAATTGGACACACAAGGAATTTGTCTTTGGTGCATATGCTCTCAATGTACATAAAAAGACAAGATACATTCGTCAAGAATCATAAGGTACAACACTTAATTATAGTCATAGAGTACAAATAAGCAATCAAATCATATTAGGAAACAATCAATATAAATCGTAAGATTACAGCAACAAGTTACAGTCATATAGTCATAAGTGGGAGGGGATAAGT